GTATACACACACACCTTAAAGCGAAATGAATCTTTCCATATTTAGTGGTAGATTCAATGGGTTTTATTTTATTTATTTATTCATTTATTTATTCCTTTTTATCAATATTACTTATTATATTGTTATTATTATCTTTGATGGAAGTATCGGGATTGGTTGCGAGGAACGAGACTTACCCGTTCTTCTCTCATATTCCTCGTCGTCGTCACCGTCGTCGTTAGAGTCGCCGTCGTTGTCAGCCCCTTCGTTGCTATGCCTTGGTCAGGTAAGTATTCCCTCTCCACTTCTCCCTCTTCTTCTCTCTCCTCTTTTCTTCTCCCCCTGCTCTCTTTCTTTCGTCTGTTGTCAAGGTCAGTGTCGTCGTCGTTGCCGTAGGTGGATCTCTCTTTTCGGCGGCAAACCGTGGAGAGGGCAGGGACGTAATCGGTGCGCGCTGATGATTCGCGCTTTACTAGGCACGTCTCATGCAAGATCGATAACTACAACAATCTTCCCTGTTGCGACGAACTTGTTTCCCGTCCTTCTTCTTAGTCTCCTTCCTCCTCTTCCTTCCTTTTCTTCTTCTTCTTCTTCTCGCGCGTTTCTCCTCCTTCTGCGCCCTGCCTTCCGCGCGCTACCCCTTTCTCACGATCTGTCCTTCTCGAGGATGCGGAATAGTACCGAGCGGCCGAGCTAGAAGCCCCGTACCCACTGCGGAGTCCTACCAGGCGTAGTCGGTTGGCTCCTTACTAGGTGAATCCGTCCCAATATCGGGGCGTGATTCATTTGGGCACCTCGGGGCAGGTAGGCAAAAGGTAAAAGAAAATCAAAACTAAAACAACGAATCTAACGTGATTCAACCTCACGGTTCATCCCTACCTTGCCAAGTGTCGGAGTCCCACGACACTCGGTTCTAACTAACAACTAGCTATACTAACTCCTACTTGTAAGGTCGCGGGTTCGAATCCCGGTTGTTCAATCCTAGGCAAAACGAAAAAAATTGAGCTCCCTGTCAAAAGGGAGCTAGCTCGAAGGGCGGCAGGCCTTGATCCCCAAATCTTCCACATATCAACCCTGTACTGCAACCTATTGAGCTAACCCGCACTTCGCTTAAAAAAGGAGTAGCTCTAATATATATAAAGTAACGCGGCTCAGTCCAACCAATGGCCTGAGCCCATTCTAGCCTGCGCGATCATGCATGTTTGCCAATCTGCGTGCGTATCTAAATGCCTGCCGCCTTGGGCGCATGCGTGACCCGCAAGGGCACGTATTTCATCGGAAGGCCCGAAGGGCCGGTACTCAGCCGTGGTCGCGGCATCGAGGGTCGCGGCAGGGTAGATACTCAAGTGGTGGGCAGGCTGGTACCACACCAAGTAGAAGTAGGTGTGGCGGGTACTCGACCCGGAGGCTGAGTAGGGGAAGACAAAGACCGAAATTTTTAGAACCCCCAGTACCGGAGGGAAGACAGGCACTGGACCTAACACAATCATCAGTCCAACTGACCCTTCGACCTCTTCCGTCGAGGGGCATTACTACCGATCCTAATCACCACGGCGCTCGTTATAGTAACGCGCGCACATACTTAACGAATTTTTCTCACCGATTTTTGCCCTGGCCTCAGTGGCCGAGGATTTTGCTTCCAGCGTTACGCCAAACGTGCACACCTCTCTCGTCCTAGACTGGCTACGTCATGGTGGCTGACGTCGCCACCTTGCCGAATGCAAAGACAAGGCAAAATACCCTTGTAAGGGTATTTTGTCCGACAACGGTCTGGATACTATGCACGTACGCATACACTGTATACATAGAGACATGTAGATGATGATTGATTCTTTGTTTTTTTTGCAAGTATAACTAAAACAGTGATGTGCATATCACAATTGTCACAACGACTTGTGCACTCAAGCATACAAGTGGAGAAATGTCAACCTAGTTCGACATGCAGTTGACCCACATCATCCGGTTGTTAGACCTTGTGTAAAATAGGTGTCGGGCCTGATTCTCTTTTCTTAGGCCGTGGACATTTTGCGTATGGCTCAAATTATTTTTTTAAGGACCTCAGTAGAATATTCATGCCCCCCGCCCTTATGCGGCTCAAAGCTAAGAGGGTCTTTTGTTGACCAAGAAAAAAATAGCCATATCTGAATCGTCGACTGTGGTCCACAGATTGAACTAGGTTTTTTCATGTTCGTGGTCTTCTGCACCCCTCCACCCAAACTTGCTCTCATGGCTTGCATATGCTTGCTCTCATGGCTTGAATGAAGTTTGGACTCAAGCCTGCCATGGGTTTGAAGTGCAACTATGTCAAACTTGAAGGTACCCTGCTTCCTAGCATTGCCTTCACGTTTGCGATAAGTGCGTGACTGTCCCCACCACACCTCATCTTCGTTAATCTTTGTTTTTGCTCTGGTCCTTCTCAACTCTTATACAACTCTATCTCCTTCTTCTTCACTCTTATCACCCTCTTTCATATAATACTTCATTTCTTTCTCCTTTTTTATTCTCTTTGATGTTTTTTTTCCCTTTCATAAATGAATACACGCCAACCACAACGGTGTGAGGCAAGGCACACATTGTTCTTCTTGCATGCTTGAATAACGCACGTTTGTTTTCGAGCTATGAGAAGAGAGCGAGAGAGTCGCTAATGGGGGCAGGGAAGAAGGGCGTGTTGGGGAGGGGTAATTAAAAATTGAGTTGTGCTGAGGGAGAAAAGGAATGAACTCAGGGATTGGGGAGGTGACATCTACTTGGGGAAGGCAAAACCTGGGAACCGGCCTGGAAGTTATACCTCACATGAGGTGACTATGGTGGTAAATAGAAGAATGGAGCAATCAAACCCAAAAAAAGGAAAAAAAAAAAAACGAATTTGAAGTGTCTTACGGTATTTATGAGTTCGTGGTTGTTTATCAACAGTTACAGACGCACCACCCCAACCACACGAATGGCTTTTTTCTTTTTCTTTTTCTCCTTTCTTTTGTTTTTTTGAAATAATTTGCAAAATACCCCTATAGCTAAGATCTATGCCAAAATGCCCCTGAAAGATGTGGGTAGAGAGGAATGCCATTTTGGGGCCCGAAATCTTTGTTGTATGCCCCTGTCAGGCCGGTGCGCAAATTCACAATCTGGACGTTGCCGTTTGGCCCTGGGCATTTTGCAATCCGGCCTTGGAAAGGCCAGTACCCCGTAGGGACATTTTACAAAGTTGGACGGTGTCGGCAGGGGTATAATGCAAAGATTTGGGGTCTAACCGATCGCAGGGGTGTTCCACAAAAGTTTTTTTTTGTCAGAGGGGCATTCCGTTCTGTTCACATCTTTTAGGGGCATTTTGGCAAGCATCTCAACTTATGGGGGTATTTTGCACATTATCCCTTTTGTTTCTTTCACAAGCACGCGGCATTTCTGTCGCTAAGGGTCTCTGCGGGGTTCGTCTTGCCCCGAATAGAACGCCTGGCCGTGATATCTGTATCTGACCGGAAACCTCGCTCCTATACATTCATCACAATGCTTGAAAGGGTGTTCGGCTGGGTCCCCAAAAGACGGGTAGACTCCTCTTAGGGGAGTTTCTAGCCAACGATGTACAAAATGAAATTGAAATCAGTTCTTTATTTTTCAGAGAATTGTTTTTCCTTCTTTTCGTTTCTTTTTCGGAGATGGTGGGTGTCTACGATTCTCCGCGCCGCTGCGGATAACCGGTAGCACTCTGGACGGCGACCAAGGTACGATTTTCATCTCTCTCTCTCTCTCTCTCTCTCTCTCTCTCATGTGCTTTCTCTTTCTTTCCTCTCTCTCTGTCTCCCTGTCTCCCTCTCTGTCTGTCTGTCAGTCAGTCAGTCTGTCTGTCTGTCTCTCTCTCTCTCTCTCTCTCTCTCTCTCTCTCTCTCTCTCTCTCTCTC